AGTGTCTCCTGAGGGCTGTGTGCCAGGCATGGCCTTAGAGCTGTCTCCAGAGAGACTGGCATGTGGTGTGTGCATGTGAGCAGCATTCGTGTGAGTGCTTGTGAGTGTGCATGTGTGTGAGTGCTTGTGAGTGTGCCTGTGTGAGTGCTGGTGTGAATGAGTGTATTTAAGTGTGAGTGTATTTGAATATCAGTGAATGTGTGTATGTGAGTGTGCAAATGTGAATGTGAGCAAGTGTGAGTGTATTTGAATATCAGTGAATGTGTGTATATGTGAGTGTGCAAATGTGAATGTGAGCATTCGTGTGAGTGCTTGTGAGTGTGCATGTGTGTGAGTGCTTGTGAGTGTGCCTGTGTGAATGCTGGTGTGAATGAGTGTGAGTGTGCTTTGTGTGAGTGTGTGTGTGCGTGTGTGCCTTTGTGTGAATGTGTGTCTGTGTGTGAGTGTGTGTGTGTACTGGTGTGAGAGTAACCCTATGTGTGAGTGTGAGCACATGTGTGTACATGTACTGGTATGGCTGTGCCTCAGTGTGCATGTAAGAGTGAGAGCAAAAGTGAGTGTGAGCGTGTTTGGGTGGCTGACATGTTAGGAGTGAGTGGGTGCGGTGTGCGGGTGGACAGGTGATTCTCTTCCAGACACGCTGCCCTCGCCGGCCCTAGTGCCAGGAGAGCGGCTGGGAATTGTGTTGTGTAGCCCTGGGAGAGCAGCAGCAGGGGTCCTGCCTGGGGCGATGGTGCGGGAAGCACAGGGTCCTTCCTCTGGGCGCTCTCTGCTCTCTTCGGGGGCTGTGGTCTCAGGGCAGCACGACCTCAGCTCTTATCCAGTGGTGACAGCTGCACTTCCCGTGGGGCTTGGTGATGCTCACACACTGACCTGTTTTGGGGTGTCGAGAGCACTGTCATCCTCGTGGGGACACGTGGCAGCCACGGCTCCTTGCAGAGACAGCACCTGTCTGAAACCTCACGCATGGGGAAGCGGCTCCAACTTTTCCTCTGCCGTTGGGCACCCCCAGTTAGGCTCTGGGGGGTTTGTTGTATTTTGTTCTGCCTCTGTGAATGTAAATGAGGATTGAGCCCCTGTCCCCGGCTCTGGGGTCCCGTGTTCTTTGTTGTCACAGAGCTGTACCAGGGCTGACTGCTGTTGGGAGATACTGCCTTGTGCATTTGCTAGCCCTGGTGGAGGCCCTGCCTGGCACCCTGCTGACTGCTCTCCCAGTCTGGTCTTCAAAACCACACGCGGGTACAACGTTACAACTCTGGAACTCGGCGTCTGCCTTCTCTTGGTGCAGTGAAGAGAGGCCTCTGCTCCGAGGCGGTCCTGTCTGTGGCCACCACAGGGGAGTGCAGGGTGCGTTACCACCTGCCCTCGCTCGTTCCACCATGTGCCATGCCAGCCCAGTCTGTGCCGAGCTCAGCCTGGGCCATGGAAAACAGGACTGCTCTTGACCCCAGGAGTCCCTGTGAGTACGCAGTGGTGTACAGTCAAGCTTGTCCATGCCCAGAGGAGCCTTGCTTCCCTGTCACGTGGTGGACAACAAAACTTTCACCTGTTCACCAAAGGTTCTGCCTGCTCTGAGGCCAGGGGCACTGCCATGGTGCTGCCCTGCATCTCAGAGGGCCGGGAGGTAGAGGGAGGGAGACCCAGCCTGAGCCTGCAGCGGTGGACAGGAGCCCGAGGCAGCTCCTAGGCCTGAGGCTGTCTCCAGGCCTGTCTAGCCTTGGCCAGCTTCCTCAGCCATCCTTGACTAATCCTTTTAATTGCTGCTCTCCAAAGTCCCTCTGCAGGGAACGTTCGGCACAGCCATCTCTTCCGATTACTGCTTAATCTTGTTTTGAGTGATTTTAGAAAGAAGGAAATTATTTGCTTCCTGCTTGAAAGAAAGCCATCATCAGAATGAGTACCATGAAGCACCACTCATTTCCCCCACAGCGGACAGCACGCTGTGCTTTCCATGGCCAATGTGCGCTCACTGGGAACTGTCCCGCCACCTCCTTGCCATTCACTCCCCTCTGCAACTGAGGGAAAAGCAGCCACCAGCAGAATCAACTGCTCGTAAAACCCATTGGTGTTAAAAAAAAAATATCCACCTACAGGCTGCTACAATCCTGTCGGTGACGTCTGCTGAGCAGTGAGGGACTCTCGGCTTATGAAGTCCTAGCTGTTTCTGGAAATGGCAAAATGTTTCTAAAAACATGTGACCAACTTTGAATCACAGAGTTTTTGTTTGGTCTACTTGAAGCAGAATGGACAGTGGCACCCGCGAGTCTGCTGCTAGGCACGTGCCCCAAGACTTGAAGGCAGGAATTAAATAAAGAGAAACGTGTCTGGATGTTCATTGCAGCGCCATCCACAATAGCCAAATGGTGGACACACCTGTGTCCATAGACAGATGATCAACAAAGCATGGCCTGTCCATGCAAGGGGACATTTTTGAGTTCTGAAAAGCAGTGAACATCTGGTCCCGCTGTAGCGCGGACAAGTGTTGAAAATGTTGTGATATGTGAAGGATCAGATGCAAAGTCCACATATTGTATGATCCAGAACAATAAGTCCACAGAAAGAGTGTATTAGCTGCTCTGGGCTTGGGCAGGGCTGGAGGGACTGCCTCAGGTGCACACTTTACTTTCAGGGTGACACGGGTGTCCTGTTGCTAGGCAACATGCTCACTGCAGTGATACTCTGTTTGCACTACACAGAGAATGTGCCAAGTGCCACGGAAATGTACCCCTTAAATGGCCAAGGTGGCAAATTTATGTCACATGTAGTTATTTGGACCATGGTAAAAAATAATTTTGCATGTATTTTGAGGATTTAATAATCAAATAGTTAGAAATAGTGTCCAGAGTAAAATCTCAATGACCTATAATTTAATCACAAGAGTACAAAGAGTAAAAACCTAATGACATAAGTGTACGGCCTGTGAGTGAGCACCGGGGGGATGTCCACCTTCAGTCCCACTCTCTGCAGAGTGACTGCAAAACTGGCAGCTTGGACAGGAGTGGTGGGGTGTGTCTTGGTATCTTTGGTTTGAGGAGTGCAGGATGCACACAGGAGTACCAAGTGACATTTAGGAGCAAGAGGGAGCCATGACTTTTCCATAGCTGTGCCCCTTGTGGTTGGGCATGTCTGTAGGCAGGTCTGTATGGCTGCTGCTCATGCTCACCAGGAGTGAGGACTGTGCCCGAGCAGACCTCCAGGACGAGGGTGACTGATGGGTGGCCTGAGCGGCGTGGGGAGCTTGCTTTCCGTCACTTCACGAGGTGACTGCAGACTTGCTTGGAGGCACTATAATGCAGACCCTGTGATTTCATGCTGCTATTGTCACTGTCTGTGGTGACTGATGGTCCACAGTATTGTAGATGCAATCTTAGAATTTAATATCTAATAATCTCCAGGGCTACAGGTGTGAGAACTATCTAACCAGTGGCAAATATGAAACCTAGAGACCTCAAGTTGTGCAGAAAAGTGACGTTTTCTTGACATACTCCGAGAGTTCAAATATTTGGAAATGGGTCCCCTGCTAGAGACCTGTGAGCCAGAGCCCAGGTTGCTTTTCCTCTTAGACAGCCACAGGCTCACTGAACAAGGAGGCAAGCCCAGCTCTGCTGTGAGCTTTCCTCAGCCAACAGACTGCATTAGAACCTCGTGTTACAGAGAGATGACCACCAGACCAGAATGCAGGACAGATGGGAAGCAGAGGCCGGGTGGAGCGGAGGTCTTTGGACGGGCAGGCTGTAGCTCTGGGTGCAGCCCCAGTGGTACAGAGAGCCCAAGATAAGAGATGCAGAGACCTGGTAGAACTCAGTTGCCACAGACCTGCAGGACCCCCACTGGTGTGCCAGTGGCTTTGTGTCCTTGCCAGTGTCTATTCACCAGTGTCAAGGGGAGGAGCCTGTGAAGGTGGGGAGTGGAGACTGCGTGAAAAGGCATTGTTCAGACACCTGGCTGCTTTTGTCTCAGCCCCAAACAGTTGCAAACACGGAGAAGCCATTCCTCCCAGGGCTGAACTCCAAAGGAGCTGTGTCCAGCTGTAGGCGCAGGAAGCCAGGCACGTGCTTGCTTGTGGTAGTGGCCCTAGGTGTGGAGCCTGGTGCTGAACAGCATGCCGTTGTTCTCACAGTTTCCTGCCAGTTCCCTGGGCTCCCTCACCTCCCAGGGTTCGGAGAGGTCAGTGTGGCTGCTTGGAGGCCAGGCCTTCCGTCTGCCTGCTGGCACCTGAACTCCTCGCCAGGGTTGTGGTCCCTGGGATGGAACCATTCTGAGGGCAAGCTGTGGGGAGAAGTAGCTGGTCTGGAGTGCGTGCATCTTGCTGCTGACCTGCCCATCTTCGCAGTCTCTGCAGTTCTCTACAGGGGAGTAGCACCTGCTGCTGCCCCTGGAGCCTGGAGGTTTCCTGCATCCCTCTTGTCCCTGGGTATTCCAGCCTCAACAGCACCCGCAGCACCATGCCTTCCGCTGTCAAGTGCACTAGCACACTGCTGGGTTTGGGGCAGAGCCTGGCCCTTTCCTGCTGGGTTTTTAGGATTCCTGTGTGAAGATGCAAGAGACAGAAACTTCCTGTGCACCTGGGACCCTGGGGACCTGGGAAGAATGGGCTGTGGCTCTTCTGCAAGGTGCTTTCAGCTTGGGCAGGCCCAGTACTCCACCTGCGTCAAAGTCCCTTTCCCAGGAGGTGTCCAGCCTCCACTACTGCCCAAAGGCCCAGGTGGGTCTTCTTGAGCCTGAGGAGAACCTGACTGTGACTGGGGTCATCTTCAGGAAGCAAGGTCCACTTGCTGCCCACAGATGTGCTCAGGAAGCTGACTGAGCCTCAGTGTCCCTCTCATCCAGTGTGGAGAACGACCCTCTTCTCACTGCGTGGCCTTTGCCGGGCGGCAGGACTGTGAGGCCGAGCATCCCTCTCACCAGGAAGCCCCTCCAACCCCGAGCGTGTCTGCGTCTCGCAGCTCCCTGCCATCTGCCTTCCTGCAGGTGCTAACCCTGTCTGTCCTTCCCTGCAGATGTCTCCAGGTGTGTGGCTGAAAGGAAGTACACCCAGGAGCAAGCCCGGAAGGAGTTCCAGCAGGTGTTCATCCCCGAGTGCAACGATGACGGCACCTACAGTCAGGTGACCACCCTGCAGGGGACGTGTCACCCGGGCGGTGAGGGCGGAGGGCACCTGGAGGGCAGGCAGCTGGCGGAGGAAGCTGCAGGGGTGCCCCGGGAGGCCTCCCAGTCGCACCGCAGAAGTTTGTCCTCAAGGAGCCTTGTGTGCGCAGAGGGGGGCTGAACATGTCTGTGCCCCATCGGGCAGTGTGCAGCTCTGGGTTGTTCAGGTTCGGTTTCAGGTGACAGGGCGCATGCGCAGGGAAGCGCAGGGAAGCGCAGCATCAGAGCCAGGAGGGAGCTCCAAGACAGCCCAGCTGGCAGCCTGTGGCTAGAAGCTGACCAAGCCAGGCTTACCAATGGTCATGTCCTTAGCCAAGGGACGGTTGAGAGGCCAGGTCACCTTCAGGTGACAGCGTGGGATCCCTGTGTCTTACACAGTCGTTTGACCACTGAGAGGTGGTCATGGAGAGTGAGGGTGCCTCTGCTGGTCTGAGCAGGGCCTGAGCCTGGTCCTGGAGGCCACCGAGGCTCCCTGGAGGAGCACCCTCCCGCAGCGCTCCACGGCCGACAGTCTCCCGACTGCCCAGGCGTCAGTTTCCCCATAGCAGGGTGAGGGTTGTGCTGCGTCTGGACAGTAAAGGGCAGTTAGGTCCTTCACAACAAAGGTGCCCAGCACCCTAGTCCCTCTAAGGTCTGCAAACCCTGCCACCCACCAGGGAGTCACCTTAAGTGGCACTGGCCATCCCAGGCCTCTGAAGTGACTCCACTAACGTGGAGCTGGCCTCTCAAGCTGCAAGCTCTGCTCCTGTGTCCAAGGATTGCTCACCACCTGTCCTTTGTCTGCAGGTCCAGTGCCACAGCTACACGGGGTACTGTTGGTGCGTCACGCCCAACGGAAGGCCTATCAGCGGCACCGCTGTTGCCCACAAGACGCCCAGGTGCCCGGGTAGGTCTGATCCAACCTCCAGCTCTTGGAAATCAGTTGCTTCTTCTCCTGGCTGTCTTCTTTAGGCTTGCTTGTAATTCTAGAGGAAAGCCAGTTTGGTGGAACCCTGAGTGATAGTGAGAAGGGCTCAGGCTACTCGACAGCGTGTTGGAGGAGAGAAAAGCGGAGGTGCTTGTACACACACTCAGGGTGGAGGAGAGCGCTCCCAGGAAGGCCTCCCTGGCCTGAGCCATGGGAGGGCCCGGGACTGGGAAATCTCAATAACCAGAGACTTTAGTCACCAGAGGAGATGACCCAGTGCTTACTTTGGCCAAGAAGGTGAAAACTTCTGGTCTTGTATACATAGGTTTTCAGAGAGAAAGTGGCTCATTCTTCTTTGGTGAATTTCCAGAGGGTTTATTTGTGTTATTTTATTACTCATAAAAGGGCTTGATGTAAGAAAATTGGCAGGATAATAATCTGTGAAATGCTTTCTTTTCCATTAATATTTTACCAAAAAGGTTACAAATGATTCAGATCATTTTTACTTGAAAATGGTCTATAGCCCAAGTTTGGTTAATTTGCTGGGGAAATCTATAAGTTTCCATGAAGAAAAATCTCATATCTAGCCTTCAAAATTCTTACATTCTACATATGAAAATAGGTAGAACTATCATCATATGATCAAATAAAGTATCAAACATTTCCCCAACTTTTCATGTAAAACATTGAAACAGTTGCACTTAGAGTTCACTTTTAGACTTCTTTTCTAGTTAAGGACAGGCACTTTCTAGCTGGGAGTTCTGTTCGTGCTCAGGGACTTAGGAAGAGTCCCAGCCCCCAGAGTGCAGGCTGGAGCTCACGATGGCATGGCTTCATGGGAACGATGCAGCTGCATATCCAGCAGCGTGCACCTCAGGACCTCACGTGGCAGGTCTCTCATGGCAGGTCCCAGGTGACAGGTCCTGTGAGGCTTGGGATGTGGAATTGAGTTACGGGTATTTCCCAAAGCTGCTTTGTTACCAAAGGCCTCACAAGAGCTGGACAAAGTTTGAGTGAGCTCACGTTGACATCTAGTCCTTCTTTCATGGTCTCCTGGAGGAAGCCAGGGGAGGAACTGAAGAGGCTGTGCTGGGGCGGCCTCTGTGAGCCTTTCCGGCTCCACGCCTCCCCCTGCATCAGCTTTCTGGGTGGAGCCTTCCCTCCTGGAGGGGAAGCCGAGGAGTGTCTGTAGCTGAGGTGGCAGGGAGGTTGTCTGAAAAATCAAGTAGTGCATGGAAGAAATTTCCCAGAAAACCATGTGCAAAGTTGGCTGAATGGCGTATAGTGTGCCGCAGTGCCGGCCCACAGCTGCTGGCCCTCGTTCCTCAGCCAGCTGTCACTAGCACTCGGCTGCAGCAAGTTCTGGTCCCATTGATGGTTTGATCTGAGAAGTGGAGTGGGAAAGAGAGTGTTCTGTACTTTTGCTCTAAAGGCCTGGTAGCTACTGTGTGGAAATGCTCCCTGTAGGAAGCAAAGACAGTGAAAGTGCGATCCACAGGGCACTCTCCTGGAACTCAAGCTCCTGAAAGGCAGTCGCACCTTTTCAGGTGCCTGGTGTGGCTCTGTGGCTGCTGCCCCTGTGAGGTGTGACTCCTGGTTGGGATGAGTAACCTGTTCCTCGACTCCAGAGAGCAGCGGAAAATCCCTCTATCCCCGAGAGCTCCAGGCTTTCATTCTGCCAACTTGGGTGGGAGGGCAGGTGCAGCACCAGCTCCTTTGGGAGCTTCAGGGAGTTGGGGGACTCTTTCCCTCTCTTTTCTCAAAGATTTGAAGTCTAACTGCAGGAGACAGGAACAAAGCCTACCACAAAAGGACTTTTTTTCCAAGGGAGGATTCCTACAGCTAACCTATTTTCTACTATCAGGAAATCGCTTCAGGTTTTTTATCTCATCTCTGTTCTGTAACCCTGCACCCTGGCCAAGAGCTTATTCCTGGCCCGAGAACAAAGTGCTTTACGATATTAAAGCTGAATCGACATGCAGGAATTTTTAATATCACAGTATCCAAAGACTCCTCATATAGAGCTTCGTCTGGTTATGTCTTTGAAGTGGTCTACGGGCTCTCGTTATGGGAGAAGGGTGGAACAGCATAGCTGGTGCCCACCATGGGTGCCACCCCACCCTGTTCTCTCACCAAGGGCCAGGCACAGATGCTGGCTGGAGGTCTTGTCCAGCCTGCCACAGCTGCTTGGGATGTGAGTGGTCCCTTCTCACAGCTGAGGAAAGAAAGCCATTATTTGTCCCTAACAAGATTCATAACATCAAACTTTGTAACTTGGTTTAAGTATTGAAGCACTTGCACTGCCCACGCCCCCAGGGAGGTCCACGGTCTTACCCATTGCCCACCTCCACTCAGGCAGAGCCTGATTGCTCGTCCCACCATGTCTGCTTTGGTGTCAGGGAGACCAAGCTGTTGATGACGGAGGATCCCGGCTTGGACTGAGTAATTTCAATACGTCCTTGATGCTGACTTAACTCTGACTCCTACCTTTTCCTACTTTGCCCAAGGTACTGGCCACTGTCTGATGCACAGAAGGCCACGTCTGCAGCAGGGTTCCCAGTGATTGCTGAGCAGTCCTGCTAACGAGCAGCTGGTTGGGGTCCTGTTTCTCACTAATGTGTCTCTGGCACTAAGCGGAGGACCCCACCTAGCTGAGGACATTGAAGAAACATCCAGAACAATTAATCCACAAATGTTGAAGTCAGCAAGAAGCTGCAGTTGGTTTCTGACCTCTCTCAAGTATATCTTTATAAAAATTACTAAAATGGAAAATTGTAACTACTTTGATTAAAAACTTGCTTTTCAAAAAAATCATCTCAGCCAGGCGCAGTGGCCACAGCTGTAATCTCAGAAGCTCAGAAGGCTGAGGCAGGAGGATTGAGGGGCCCTAAGCAACTTAGGAAGACCCTGTCTCAAAGTGAAAAATAAATGATAATATTAATAATAATTTTTAAAAGGGTTGGGGAAGTGGCTCAGTGGTTAAGTACCCCTGGTTCAATCCCTGGTACCAAAACCATCAAACAACCAAATAAACAATGAAACAGAAAAACAAAACAAAATCATCCTTCAAAATGGTCTTTTCTCTGGGCCTAACACTTCTCTTCCTTAAAATGTTAGTTATTAAAATTTTAATATATATTAATAAAGAAAAGCATGAACAAATAACTCTAACAAGAAGTAGAAAATGCACTGAAAACTCAGCGCTTTGCAGCCTGTGAATCTGGATTTTACCTGTGGTTTGCAATCCTGAGAGGTGCTTCTGTAGGAAAGTGTACATCCCTCGCGCTCCTCTCACGTGTTCTCAGAGGTCAGGGACGTGCCCATTTTGTCCTCCATAAGGTGGCTGTGAGCTGGAGCAGCCACAGAGGGTTGGCCCACTCTGCAGTGGAAGTTGTGGGTGGTTTTGAAGGTGTTTAATTTATACGAATTTCTTAAGACACTGGGTAGATGTGTGGTGGCCGCCCTGCACAGGGGCTCTGCAGCCTGGGGGTCAGAGGACCCTGTTCCACCTGTGGAGAGATCTGGTCTCCTTGCACGTCCCGGGCCCTGCGTCTGAGCAGCCTCTGGGCTCATCTGATCCTCCTCCGAGCGGGCTTCTGTCCTCTGTCCTGGTCTTCACATCTCACTTGTGGTCTTCCCACTGACAGAAAATATTTTTCCATTCAGGAAAAATGTCTCTTTTCTTTTGGGAAGAAGTACTTTTCCATGTCTAAGAGTCGCATTTTTGATGGTCTGCCTTCTGACTGTACTTCTTAGTATGTGTGATTTGGTGTCTGATTTGTGATTTGAATGTCACGTGGATATAACAGAGTACTCCATGAATCATCCCTAATGACACCAGTCCACAGATGGCTTCAGCCTCCGCTTCCTAGTATTTAATAACACTTTCTAAAAGATGGAGGGCTTTTTAGAAGTGAAGGGTCCCTGTCGATGTAGCTCATCTGAAGACACAGGGCTTGTTCTGTTCAGCTCTGCATTGCTGTGGCCAAAAGACTCCGTGAGAATGGCCGGAGGAGGCGCAGTCTCTGTTGGCTCTTGGTTTCAGAGGTTCAGTCCATGGCCTGCAGAAGGGGCAGCTCTGGGCTCTGGAGGAGGCAGAGCTCTCACACCAGGGAAAAAGCATAGACCCTGAGGGTCGCCCCCGGGACCCTCCTCCAGCCACACCCCTCCTGCCATCATCACCTCCCAGTTAATCCATGAAGTGGACTGAAGCATGGATTGGGTGAGGCTCTCCTAGCCCGATCATTTCACCTCTGAGCATTCTTGGCTTGCTTCACAAGTGAGCTTCTGGGACTCCTCACATCTAAACCATAACAGCCTCCGTCTCTCTGGAGGTTTTATGCAAAGGAAAACAAGCATAGGCGGTTTTTAAATTGATTTTTTATTTATATATGATGGCAGAATGCATTACAATTCTTATTGCACATATGGAGCATACTTTTTCCTATCTCTGGTTGTGTACATAGTATATTCACACCAATTCCTGTCTTCATACCTGTACTTTGGATGATAATGATCATCACGTTCCACCACCATTAATTACCTCGTGCCCCTTCCCTTCCCCTCCCACCCCTCTGCCCTATCTGGAGTTCATATTCCTCCCATGCTCCCTCTCCCTACCCCCCTATGAGTCAGCCTCCTTATATCAGAGAACACATTCAGCATTTGTTTTGGGGATTGGCTAACTTCACTTAGCATTATCCTCTTCAATGCCATCCATTTACCTGCAAATGCCATGATTTTATTCTCTTTTATTGCTGAGTAAAATTCCATTGTGTATATATGCCACTTTTTTTATGCATTCATCACTGAAGGGCATCCAGGTTGGCTCCTCAGTTTAGCTGTTGTGAATTGTGCTGCTATAAACATGATGTGGCTGTGTCCCTGTAGTGTGCTGTTTTCAGTCCTCTGGGTATAGACTGAGGAGAGGGACAGCTGGTCAGATACTAATGATGCTGCTGCTGCTTTTTGTTTTTTGT